GTCAGGGACACTGGGATCACACTGGACGTGACAGGCTACAAATCGGCAACTGGCACTGTGACGTCACTCAGGGCCCAAACCACAAAGGACTAGGGTGCGGTGGTGGGTGTCTAGGAGGGTCAGGGAGAGATTCCAGTTCATAGAAACAAGCAGATAATCTAGACTGATGAGCTCAAGACATCAAACGAAGGGCCTGTAAATAATCTGCAGTCACTTATTCTGCCGACCATCATGACGTCAAGATCCGGGCCAACGGGTGGTACAGCAGAGGGGCAGGGCGGTTGGGATGGGGCGCTGTTCGGGTAATCTGGTGGACTGATACCGCAGCGGGACAGGGGGTTTTGGGCGGGACCTTACCTCGTAGTTGATGTCCATGCCGGCAGCCAGCAGCACCTCCACCACAGCCCGGTGCCCATTGCGGGCGGCCAGGTGCAGCGGCGTATGGCTGCGGGTGGAGCAGCTCAGCAGGTTGGGGTGGGCGGTCAGCAGCAGCTTCACCACCTCCAGCCGGCCGTATAGGGCTGCCAGGTCCAGTGGCGTCTCCATCTTGCTGTTGCGCATGGTGGGGTCCGTCAGCTCCTCCAGGAGGAGGCGCACCACCTCGGTGTGGCCGTACTGGGCCGCGCAGTGCAGCGGTGTCTCATTGTCATGGTTCTGTGGTAGAGGGAGGTGGCAGAAGTGAGAGGGCCAGTCGACAGCTCGACCCCTCAGCCAATCAAATTGCAGCACTCCCATGGTACAGGCTGCTGTGTACAGCAGACCGTCATAGTCACGGCAGGCGACGAAGACATACTGCGAGAGTGTGACCACTGTGAGAGTCAGGGCTGGGAGCACAGGTGCAAGGGGGAGAGGGGAGGAGGGGGGAAAAGAGAGGAGAGGGGGGAGAGAGGGGAACAAAGGATGGGAAAGGAGAGAGCAGGAGAAACAGGCCAGGAGAGGAGAGGGGAAAGGAGAGAAGCGAGAGAGAGAGGAGAGAGAGAAGAGGAGAAAGGAGGGGAAGTGGAGAGGAGAGAAGCGAGAGAGGGAGGAGAGANAGAAGAGGAGAAAGGAGGGGAAGTGGAGAGGAGAGAAGCGAGAGAGGGAGGAGAGATAGAAGAGGAGAAAGGAGGGGAAGTGGAGAGAGCCCAGCACAGACAACCTACAGATAAGCAGGAGAACAGACCCCTGAGGTACACCAGCATACAACAGACCCAGCGCTGCAGAAAGTGAAAGCCACCAATTTCACGGCAAGAACACGGCAGGTGAGCTCCAAGGAGCCCTGAATAAGTGACCCCCCACCCCCTTTGCTCAAGCACAATTGTGAGTCTTCTGCTATATCCATGACCTGCCACAAGGGGGCGCCGAGTAAAACTCCTGCTGTGTAATGCCAGCAGTTGCAGCTAAGGAAAGAAATACATAAAGGCAGCTAAAGCTTGATTTCTTCATAATTTTTCAGGGGAACCTCTAAGATACGTTCAGCAGTGAGGGACTACAGGGCCTCAGTGCTCCCTCAGCCAGGAGTGGCGAGCAGGGGGTAAGAAACCAGGCCACATCCACGGGCCTTTCAAGCGGCACCAGGGGCCAGAGACGTGGCTGGATGGAAGATGAGAGGCGGCAAGTCCCGGCACGACGCGGGGAACGGCAAACAGAGATGGGTGCCGGATGGCCTGCGGGAGAGACTATGTAAAAGCAGCAGAAGCACAAAGGGCCCGGCGGAGAATGGCTCTGCTGGCTTGGGGGACTGGGAAACGGAGAACCACAAAGACAAAGAAGCGGGGCCCACATGGGCATGGGCCAAACCGCCCTACTAGGCGCAATACCACACAGCAGCCCATACAACGGGGGGGGGGAGGTTCTCACTCTCGCTCTCTGCCAGACCAGACCATGAGGGGCATGGCGAAACAGGACCGGAACTGTCAAGACGACGGCATCGCAGCCCATCTGTGAGTATGTGTGAAAATAATCTGTGCGACAATTACAGCTGGGGGGCATGTAGCTCAAGGACAGGGGGGGCGTGTTGGCAACCATCAAGCCAGTGACCCAATAAGCCGATAAAAATTAAAGACAACGTGGAACATTAATATCCACATGGTCTGATTGTCAGCAAGAGCACATCTTCGTGAGGCCCAATCACGTCATGAGATCTCGCCCATGGGCACGTGAGTGATTCACACCTCGGCCAATCAGGCCATGTCATGGTGCAGAGCTCGTAACAAATGCATCCATGCGGTGAGCCAGCTGAAAGCTGACAGTAATGATCTGTGTCAATGAAAGAGGGGACAGGGGGATAAGGAGTGGGTAAGGAGAGCAATGCAGGGTGAGGAGGGGGCAAGGGCCAGACTGCGGGGTGAGGAGGGGGCGAGGGGCCGACTGCGGGGTGAGGAGGGGGCTGCTAAAAGGCAAGAAGGAGGGAATGCAGATGTAGGACACCATAAGCATACACAGCAGGCAGATGCAGACAGACAGAAGCAGACACAGTGCAATGCAAGCAGATGTATGCAAGCAGACATGGACACCGGCAACACGGACAGACGAAAGACAGACACAGTCAGATGCAGCAGGCAGATACAGGCAGACACAGCAGGCAGATGCAGACACAGATGCAAACAGGCAGAAAGTCAAATATCCCACTGCAGCGCTCGGGGCTACAAGCCCCTGCCTGCCCAGGTGATGCAGGATGAGGAATGCGGCTCGCTGAAGCGCAACCAGCACCAAGTCGGCGTGCCTCTCATTCCTGCGCTGGCCAGGCCCCGCCCACCCTCTCTTGCCCAGTGTATCTTTAAGATGGGAGAGGGAGGCGAGAGGAAAGGGAGGAGAGGGCTGGGGAGGGAACCGGACCAGTGGAGGGGGGGTTTAGGCAGATTCACCCCCACACCAGACCACCAGCGGCACAAGCATGTCACACACAGGAACGTAAGAGAGGACCGGCGTGACACAGAGACCAGGAGCGCAAGACAGAGGGCGTCAGCAAGGCTGCTTGGCGGGGCCATGCGGTGGGGAGGCGGCCATGCAGCCTGGGTACGCACCTTGGCGTTAATATATGGGTCAAACGGGCCGCAGCGTTTGAACTCTCTGGGGTCTACAGAGTTCTAGGAGGAAGAGAACACGGGCAACACACAAGCATGAGTGCACACACAGAGAACACTGCCCTGAAGGGGGCGCCGCTCAAAGCAATGGGGCATACCACCTGCCGATGGTACGCTCCGCTGCCATACTGTTAGCAGCCTGCTGGGGGCAGTAGTGAGACAGGGGCTAGCTGCATTAGCACTGATCTCACACATCAGAGTCATGGTACCGCTTCTCCACATGCAAGAGGCAGGTGGGCCGGTGGGTGGGAGCGACTGACTTCTGAGCTGTTCAAATGGACCTCCCTGACCGCCCCCGGCATATGACCACCCCCATGAAGCCACGAGACGGACGGCAGACGGCCCCCTGACCCCCCGAGGGGCCCCGACAAGCAGACCTGCCCATTGAGCTTGGGGTGGGACGGTCCCTGGTGCACGAGCAGCCGCACGATGCGCTGGTCGCCCTTCCAGGCAGCCAGGTGCAGCGGGTAGCAGCCCTTGTTGTCGGCGATGTTGGTCAGGGCCTCGTTCCGAAGGAGCAGCTCCACGATATCACTGCAAAACACGAAGCCAACAGGCACACAGATGGCGGCTCGTTAAGCTGCTGAGTGGGAACCGCACCGTCAGGGTCTTTGGGGCCACCCCAGCCCACCCCCGGGCTCAGGAGTACCACTCACTTGTGGCCGTTGAGGGCGGCGTGGTGGAGGGGGGTGTATCCAGTGCTGTCCACGCAGTTCACATTGGGGCCCCTCCAGATGCTGTGGGGACAGAGAGGAAGCCGACATGAACACATGTGCAGGTGCATAAACAGGCACGCGGACACAGCAGACCGACAATCACATGCAGAGCTTCACGCACACACACGGTCCCTTGGACATGTGCAGCTTTGCACACATTCAGTGTCATGCACAGTCAAACGCAGTCACACACACACATGCACTCGCACATGCACAGTCACAAGTGCGGTCACAGCCACGGGTGCGGTCACAGTCACATGCACAGACTTATGCACACGGACAATTTCATGCAGCGTCTTACGCGCAGTCCAACACATACAGTCGCATGCACAGCCTCGCACACGCAGAGTCTCATGGGAATACGCAGTATCGCACCCATTCACAGTCACACACATGTGCAGTCACACGTAGAGTCACAAGCACAGTCACAGTCACATGCACATACACGTCTCACAGACACAGGCCAGTTGTAGAAAAACCCCTCCCGCATCCCCAAGGGGCAGTAGCAGGACCGGCTGCTAACTGGTCATCCAGGTGGCACACGGTCACATGCAAGTGGACCGGACCAGACTGGACCCAGACATGACAGCAACTCTGTGAAGCAGCCGAGTCTTTCCGCAACACGAATCCAAAGCGCGTCATTCCCCCGCCTCGTGCTGGTGACACGTGCTGCTTTGGGGATTTCGACACACAAAACAGGAAACTCGAAACACTATAAACAATGGAAGGTGTTCTTCTGTGCGCAGAACAAGAAAGTGCCTGCAGGGGGCGATGTGTGCAGAACACAGAGCAGGCCGGGGCCATGGAATGAGGAAACGGCAGGAGGATTTGCAGAGGGTGTCAGGGACAGGTTGAGACACACAGCAGGGCGCAGGGCGCGCCTCCACATTTACGCTGCTGAAATGGAGGCTGACCCCCATTCCAGAAACAGCAAGGTCACATTGGTCTGTTTTCTCCGAATGCAGTTTCAGAATTACGCAGTTCACACAAAGGAAGTGTGACAAGCCTGCAGATGAAGAACACTCACTCAGTCACAGGGAGTGGCTGGACTTTGGACGCTGGCTTCAGGAACACCCGCTCCACGCAGTGACTGTTTATGCACCATCTCATGGGATATGGATTAGTGGATGAGGGCAGTCAGACCAGGTGATCCCAAGCAGATCACAGAGGGCAATCTGGAAGGAGCTCCAGAGAAGGGCTGAGATCCAATACCTCCAGAAACAATCCTCCTGACTCTTTCTGGGCTGCTCTGGGGCCATGCTGGGATAGCCTTCTGCATAACAGGCAGGCCCTCGGGGGGGGGGGGGAACCATGTCTGAGGTCCCTCCCCCAGTCCATCCTTCCCTTCCATGTCAATGTCTGTTATTGTATCCATGGGGACTGGGCCAGGTGACACATAGCTAGCTCAGTATGGACTGAAAAGCACCTGTCTGGCCGCCAGTTCTCACCCTGGCAAAAGGCGGAGAGGGTAAATTCGGCCCAGTTGAGCTGCCCTGCGGTTCCGGCGCTGTCAGGCGCTGCTTAACGAGGCATGAGGCTGTGGCGTTGGCGAAGAAGAGCAGCGCAGGCTGACTGACACACAGGCCCTGCCAGTCTGTCCCAGATGACAAACAGAATCTGTAAAACGGAGGCTCACAGCTCACCGTCCAAGACAGGTGGGCAGAGGGACTGTGAAAACATTATGGTGGCTGACAGGACCCAAAACTGCCGTGGGGAAAAAGCAAAGTGTAAAGCATGCCTCATTCTTCAAGTCATCCCTCCCGTGATTGGGCTCTCCTAGCCCTGATAATGGTGCTTTGTGTCTGAAAGTCGGCTTCATACAGACAGAGACTGTCAGACAAGCAGTACAGAGCAGCCCAAGGTTTGCACAGCAGATCCTGATCCCCAAAGATTGATTCCACACAGCCTGGGATCCTACCTAAATACAGGCACTCAGGAAACGCCTGTCTCTGAGCATCTGTGCCGCTACACGAGACAAACGCGGACCTTTTGTGCCACATTCACCCGTAACGGCAAGACAACAGGCAACGAGCCACTAGCTCTGCTAAGGCCAAGAGCAGGAGCGGTACATGGAGGCAGGCAGGGGTCCGGAAACATCCCCCTGTGTGTTTCAGGCTTGGGCTCCACGCGATCTCAGCCTTCCTGCGGTTAAACGCTGCTCACTAGCTCCTTGTTATCCATGGCTGCCTCCTCCTTACACCATCTGGCCGGTCACATGCCTGCCGACCGCAAACCATACCCTGAATGTCCATCAACAGCCGCTGCGTACAGCGTGAGAGCCTAGGTCTCGCAGCCCCCCCTGGAGGCAGGCAGACTGCAGAGCGCAAGTGAGCACAGCATGCAGGCGACCCAGTTCTCCGGACTGGAAATAGCTGGAGATTTCGGTCTGTTCCAGTTAGCTTGATGGGCTGAGGGCTTCTCACAGCTCACTGCAAGAGAGCATCAACCTCCGATAACCCAAAGCAGCCCCTGGCGTTCACAACACGGGGACTCGATGATCATCAGGCCACTTCTCCACACACCAGAAACCAGAACCCCCCTTCGTCCGGTTTTGGGTTCGAGGTCAGGGGCAGTTCACCCTGGCCGAGCCCCCGCAGTGCCTGCCGTTTCTGGCCTTCAGCACGTCTCCCTGATACTGAACCTCCACCCACACCTTGCGGCACCGGCCACAGGAGCCACATCAAAACATCCGCAGGTGCCGGAAGACCAGTGGTGGGGGGTGGAGCTTCAGAGAGAGCTTCAGAGAGAGAGAGCGGAAACGAGGGCAGCTGAACAGCACCTTAAGACAACGTGGAGAAAAGCCGAGGACAACACAGGAGACCTAAAGCATCAGCCTACTGCGGAACCTCCATCAGCTCCGAGGGGGGAGGCACACTGCAGCCGGGGGGAAAACTCTGCGGGGAATTCTTCTGCCTCCAAATAAAATATGTTTGAAGAGGTGTCTGCTCAGCCAAGTCTGGCCACAGAACAGGCAGGTGGGCAGGAGACTGCTGAGTGCAGCAAAGAGGAAAGACCAGAGGTGGGGAGGTAGGGAGGGAGGGAGGTAGGGAGGGAGGAAAGTAAGGACACAGTAACATGGTACAGCCTGGTAGGTCTCACACAGAAACTCGTGTCAGGGCAGGGACACAGATCCAAGACACAGGTGCAAGACTGAACACCTCCATCTTCCCGGCGGGTTGCCCCTTCTCCTTAGTCTCTTGAACACCTCCATCTTCCTATTCGGGTTGCCCCATCTCCTGAGTCTCTTGAACGCCGGCATCTTCCCGTCGGGTTACCCCATCTCCAGAGTCTCTTGAACACTTCCATCTTCCTGTCGGGTTGCCCCATCTCCTGAGTCTCTTGAACGCCGGCATCTTCCCGTCGGGTTACCCCATCTCCAGAGTCTCCCAAATGCCCCCATCTTCCCATCAAGTACCCCTGTCTCCAGAGTCTCCCAGACTCCACATCAGGTCGCTTCATCTCCATTTCTCCCTCTGAGCTCAAGCAAGGGCAACATTCATCATGTTAACATTCACTATCCCTCCGTACCGTGCTTGCACAACCGAGGTCTGGAGCAGCATTCCCACATGATGCTGCTGAGAAACACTGTGCCCATCCTACGCATAACAGCTCGGTCAGCAGGAGACCGGCATCCGATCCAGGCAACACGCCCATAGAGATGGCGTTGCCAGAAAACAGCAGTGTGGCAAAATGAGGTACATGTGGATCAGGGGCTCAGAGGACAACTCTTATATGGCTCAGTCATCTGACTGAAGACTGGGGGCGAAAAGTTAGCTTCAGCGGCGCGCACAGGCCCCTAACCCTAAGAACAAGACAGCTGTGGATCTGACACTAAAGGCAGAAGTTATTTGGCCTTAAGGTATCCAGGGGGTGGGGGGGGGGTTGTGGCTTCCAGCCTGCATGGGCTACCCCATCTTGGTGAGCTGCATACCTGCATGACGACATGATACCTGTACATTGCTGGTGTTGAGGTGTCAGGCGGAGCAATACTGTCAGCGCTCTCTACACAGATTCCAAAAACTGCTTTCGTCTCTGGTACCTCGAAAGGAGGTCAGAGGAAAGGAAGGTGCCCCATCTTAAGCCTTCTTCACAGAGACAGCGCACACAAGCTAACGCGTTTAGCGACCCACAGAGCAGACCATGAATGGGCAGGCAGAAAGGGGAAATCGCACAGCAAGAACATGAGACATCATCAATAGTGTCAAGATTCCAACCGCAGACATGCGAGGGGACTGCTTGTGCTCGCTGGTGCCGGGTGAGTCGTCAGAAGCAGGCCCTTCAGGTAGCACTAAGCTGCGCCAAACTGCGCTGGTAGGATTTTCTGAATGACTAATCACAGCACAAGACAATAATGTGAAAATGACAAGTGGGAATATGATGTCAGCACTTGGACACCATCAGAAACGCGAGACTCTCCGGTTTAAGGTAGGATGAGACCATGCCCCCCCCCCCCCACCACAATCCACTGCTGATATCATGAAATTCATTCATGTTTTAGGTTTTCCTTGTTCCCACTCACCCACGGACATGAAAGCACATTCGACACTAACACACAACCAAGAGGAAAATGGCCACCTCCCCAAACAGAAGCATGAACCTGATCCCCAGCTTCTCCCAGGCTCCCGATTAGTGAGCCTGCCAGTCTGCCATCTGCCTGCCTACTGGACTAGTCAGGGGAAAAATATCGATAAAATCAATGTGCCGTGGAGGGCTGCTCACCTGCGGTACATCTACACAAACCTCCAGAAGCCTCTTAGGTAGACAACAAGACCCTCCAATACACACACAGACGCAACCGGTCTGCCATACCGAAGCAGCTAGGGGGTCTGGATATCTACAAACACTGACCTCAATAATTAAACAGCAGATGATTTAATCCTACCCAGCTTACAGGACTCAAGGTCACATCTCAGAGGTGGTGGTGAGAGAGGAGATTGAGGTCAGGAGACTCGTGGCTGGCTGGAGTCTTTCCAACACCAACCTTCTGGACGCAATTCAGCCCCTCTGATCAACCGTGTAAGCATGGGTATAAGCAAATGGTCCTCCACAGGACTGTATCCCTTAGTCCGAGACAGACAGACCCAGGTCCCCCTGGGGCAGACCACACCAAACTTCCAATAAAAAGCATCTGCAAAGCACATTGAAATCTGCCACAGAGCACATTGAAATCGAGGTGATGTGCAGCTTTGCACCTGTGATCAGAAGGTTGTCGGTTCAAATCCCATGGTCAGCAAAGCATTTCCACCGTTGGGTCCTTGAACTAGGACCTTAACCCAAATTGCTTCAGGGACTGTCTGACCCTGCTTTCTTAAAAAAAGTATGTTGTTTTGGGCAAAAGAGACTGCTAGATAGGTTATTGGAAATTAGGACTGCACAATACGGGGGGGGGGGGGGGGGGGGGGGGTTAAATTAATAAACCAAAAAAGGAAGTGAAAATAAACTACCCAAAATAAACTACTGTCAAATAGATTATATTTGCAAACAAAAGTGACTGTCAAATAAGTTGTGTTGCCTGCAAGTGACAAGCCACTTGCTTCTGTTCAATGTCATCTCGATATGAATCCATAATATTTCCATACAGCATACAGCCTTTTGATGACCAGTTCTTGTTTGCTTTTCTCCTCTTCACTCATTTTTGTTAAATTTTTCACAAATGCACCACACTGTCTATGAGTGAGTCCAGCAGCAAGCATGAAAATGGTTATAATTGTCTCAGAGAGCATCTGCAGAGTTCATGAACTGGGCCTAGATAATCTTGAAAAAGAACTATTATTAAAATTGCTGAGCTTGCTAAGCTTTATTTCCTATAACACAGTGAGAATGACTTCGAGTATCATCGACTTAACCCGGCTGACTATCACGGTACTTGAGATGTGACAAGTGCATGTGCATAACATGCGATGTCAATATTCACGTGGCATTATCGTGCAGGTTCTGCCCAACACTGCAAAAACCCATCATATGCAGATTAGAGAAGCAAAATAACGTAGGATGGGGGAGAGAAAGCGCTGGCTAACAGCTGCTAGACAGCATCCATCTATCAGAATAACTGCGGGGAGGCGGGACTCTGCGACAAGCCCCCGCCAGACGCCTCAAGCTCAAGCAGGAGAAGTGCTTGACCAGCACGGTCAAACCCAAAGGGGAAGCTGATCCACGCATACGAGCACCAAGTCGCTCTTCCTGTAACTGCACACCGTGGGTACAAGTCGTACCAAGTAAACTGGCAGATCATTCTTCCTGTAATGGCACACTCTGGTGTGATGCGCAAACCTTAAAACAGCAACACAACAAAGTTCACATTCCACTTTCAAGAGCGAATAAATGATATGAGGTGTCCCTAGCAGACTCAGATCTCCAGGCAGGATGAGACCTGGGGTGGGGGGGCATCTGACTTTCACTGAAACGCATCCCTAGCTGCAAAGAGACCGTCCAGTCTAGGCCCTGGGAAACATGAGCATGATTGTGATGCGGCAAAACTTTAGCCGCTTGTGCGGAGACGCTTGAATGAAAACACAGAGGGGGGGGGGGTACAACAACGCCTCATTTGCAGGAACGCCACGAGTCCGGGCACGCAGACTCGCGTCGCTGTTGGCAGGGCACGGAAATGGCACGCATTCGGTGCAGGATAAAAACAGCCCTGCTCTCTACACGGGCCATTCCTCTCTGGCAAACTGCCACTGTCAGTTTCGAATGGAACCAAAACGCGTATCACGGCCACCCAGCTGCTCACATGGCCCATATCAGAGGAAGCAATATGACCACAGCGTGTCCTCGTGCAGCCCACCGCCACGGCGTTCGTTTCCCATTTAGAAGCCACCGCTACACGCAGGCACAAAGCATGTCTACGCGTCCCGTTACACACATCAGCGCTAAGGCTCTCAGTGCAGGATATGAGGAGTCTGCTAAGATTGATGATCGAGAGAGCGATAAGTGGCTAACCATAAGCAAACTGAGCGATACTGAATGCAGGGTTTCTACGTAAATGTAGGAGAGGAAGAATTGTTGAGACGGAGCGGAGTCAAGAGGGGGGCGCACAAAGCAAAAAAGACGGGGAGGCTGGCACAAACCTCTAACGCCTGTGTTTATTCACTTGACATGTGCTAGCCTCATCATTATCGCTATGGAAACCTGCCAGCCATCGATTATACCTCACAGACCCAGGCAAGACGAACGTGGAGTGCCCCAAAGCGCTGCCGCGGCAACCGGCTGTGAGGGCGCAATGAAACGCTACGATGGCCCTCAACAGGAATAGGGATTTCTAATTATGTGGGATCAATGCAATTAGATTAAGCGGCTGGACATGAGATTCAATGATGTTCCACCTATGTGCACCTACGGGGCCTTTTAGCATGGTGCACTGTCACGAGGACAGCACCCAGTAAAAATTAAATGTTACTTTATTAGCCATTTGTGCAAGTACAGGTGCATAGCAATTTGCACATCTCATCTTTCTCTCCTATGACAGACAAACTTATAGAGGAGAGAAGTGAAGCTTGTGGTCTGATCACAGGGTCAGCCATGTATCCAGTGCCCCTGGAGCAGTTTTCAAGTTAAGGGCCCAACAATGATGTAACTACTCTGCCAAACACAGGATTTGAACCAATGACCTGCCGACTCAGGATTTGAACCAATGACTCATATGAAACACATGACCAACAGGGCAAACAGTCAGTCAGCATCACACAGAAGGTTTGAGGGCTTCAACAGAAATGGCTGACTAATGTTTTCAAAACTAAAAGCGTGCAGAAAAAGGAGAAGAAAGATTTGAATTTAAACATAAATCTCATAGCAGGGGGATCCCAAAACGTCTGAATTCCAAATGGAGCCAGACCATCGCTGAGAGAGGAAGTCAAAATATGGAATGGAGATTTCTGGGCCGCTGCCCTAAGCCTCTGGGTTCGTTTCAGCATTATTTATTTTTAATATGCTGACCTCACCTTCACAGATCAGATTTGCTGTGTAAGTGCCATTGTGAACCACATACAGGCTTACACTCTCAGCACTTTACAACACTTAGAGAAGCAGAGCGGAACGTTATTTACACAATTAGGGTTACTCAATCCAGAGAGGCCTGTGATGGGGGGGCAAGGAGGTTTCGTTAAGCCCCCCCAGGACACACCCCCACTACACATGGAGATGCATGCTCTTTGCTAAGGTAAAGAGTCCCAAACAGCGCGGCTGTGCACAGGACTGCGCCAACCACAAGCAAAAGGCAGACTGACAGATACGTACATTTCATCCCGGGGGGGGGGGGCGCAAACGCTGTATGTGCATGAAACGCAGAAAGGGGCTGACAGCCAGCGTGGTGCAGACATGGGGGCGGGGGGAACCAGCCTTTTGTTCTTTCGGGTCTGTCACCACTCTCATCCCGCATGATCCATTTCCAAAAACCCGAACACCCGGTTTCCCGAGCAGGGGGTCCGCCATCAGCCAAGCCGGGTGCTGCAAACCACCCGAGACCCGAAGCTGGTCTATCAAACCCTGCGCCGAGGCTCCCTGGATTTTTCCTCTGGAGAAGTGTAAAGCCAGCATCGTGGAAAGGCAGTCCGTAACAAAGAGCCCCGGCCGAGCTCCACCTCGCCGGCTGCCTGTCGATGTGCCATCAAACATGGCGAGGGAGGAGCGGGGGGCGGCTGGCTGTGCGAGGAGGGGGACCCGGGGAGGTGCGGCGACGGCGGGGCTCCGGTCCCGGCACTCGGACGCCTATTGTTTAACCAGCTTGTGCCTGGAACAAGCCGCCGAAGGGCTTCGTGCGTTTTGAGCGAGCTTAGCCCTGGTCCGACATTCCGGGTCGGAAACCTCGGGGGCCCGCCGGTCCCGCTCCGCCCCGGTTCGACTCTACCCGACCCGGTTCGCACCGCTCCGGTCTGCCGCGTTGTGACCCACCCCCTCCTCCTCACCTGAGAAGACTGGAGAGCGTGTGAGACGAGGAGCCGATACCGCTGCCGCCCGCTCCTCCGACTCCAGAGGAGCCGCCGCCGACTCCAGCAGACTGCCGCTTCGCGGAGAGGAGCTTCTCCACTGCGGCGCGGTTCCCGGTGCGGGCCGCCTCTAGGAGCTCCTGCTCCTTCCCCATCTCGGACGAAGAGAGGGGCAGACGAGGGGGGCGAGAGCGCAGAGCAGCGACGACGCAAGCAGCCTAGTTAGCAGCGACAGGTAGGGCGGCTGGCTCGCCACTCCCGGCGCGTCACACTCCCATTCCGCCGCTCCCCTCCGCGGCTCCGCCGAAACTTTCTTTCAGCACCACCGGGGGAAACTTCCTCCGCGCGCGACACGTCACGCACCGCCTCACTTCCGCGAGACGGCCTGCCCGCGTGACGTCCTCCACGGGCGGTGTTACGTCACTCCAGCAAGCTGTGCTCATCAGTCATGTATAAAGCTGTAATAAAGCAATAAATCAAACTCAAAAGGAACAAAAGGAACAAAAATGCATGTATCTACTTTGTGTAAATAATTTAATACGAAATATATCTGTCTAAATATGTCTCCATGGTGATATGTACCTAGGGTGTTCTGTGTCTCTAGCACTGTCATTTTGGAGGGGCATGGGCTGAAAAGTTTGGGAACCCATGTTCTAGGCTATGGCCTAAGGCACCGGCAAACACCAAGGGCCCAGGCCAGCCTTGGGAAAAAGAGAACAGTTAAACTAATTAAATCTGGTGGATGGAAACCCTACATTACATAGTTTTTAATGCTTTTTTTGGGGGGGGGGGCAGAGAATAATCCACCCCTGAATTTGGGAAACATGCAAAAAGACAGACATTACAATCCATTGAAAATCAGGACTAAACTAAATAGACATACAGATAATCAAAATTAAGTGCTAAAATGTAAAATGGTCTTGATTATACTGAAACTACTTTACTGGCTCTAGGGTTCAGTTAATTTCTGAGGATTCTTATAATCTTTCTAAAGCTACAGGTAATCAAAAGAAAAATAAATCTGTTAAAACTCAATCATGATACTTTAAAATAGGTTTAAATGGTAGAAAGGTCATTATTCTGTCCTCAAATGGATGAGAACCTGGGTTAACAAAGGAAGTGTAAAATCATATGAGAAAGTCATCATCTAACAGGGCATCTTCAGCTCGGAGACAGCGATTAAAGCCACCTGTGTACAGATAGCCAGATGAATAGGCAGCCCTCGTCTTTGCTGTCATCATATGGTTCATCTTGTTTAATAGTCCACAAATGGGATCGATCGCCGGTTATTCAGGAATCTGGATGCGAGACGGATCCATAACCGCTGGCCGAACGGCTCATGTTTCCGTCTTGGATCACAAATAAACGCTCCCTGAAACTGAATGGGCATTTCACAAAAGTAAAACTGCTGCAATTATACATGTAAATAAGACCAGAAAAGGGCAGGGCGACATCAGTAGTAATAATTAACATATGCAGAGCCCCCTTCCCCCCCCTAGTGCCCATTGACATCACATCCAGCACCCAGCCTCCAAGGCTCTAAGTACCCTGCACTGCTTCCTATATTTCATCATCTTAATCTACTCTTACTCACCTAACAAAGTCATGCCATTAAACTAAGGAGAGTTAGTGCTGACAGCTGTTGTAGACTACAGACATACTTTATGTGTTTTGCAAAGAGAGAAAAATGCATTTGTAACATTTATATTAAAAATGACAATCAGCTCTGGCCTACTATATAGGTCTACGTAACATTTAGCCAAAGAATTTAGTATTTTGAAAGGGGAATGTGAGGACATTATGGGTGTAGGGACTGGGAGGTGGGGGGATGTGTCCCTGCAACGTCAAACTCTCCTCTACGCCCTTGTGCAGGGGGGGGGGGCGCATTGTCTTCCATTCCATGCCACTGAGACTTTGACAGAGGAAGCTGAGATGCAGTGTGTAGTGTTAGGGGATCGATGGATACGAGACACACATGAAGAGTATGCTCTGAGGTCTCAATGGGGGCCGCTGCGGTAATGATGCTCCACATCGATCGCTATCAATAGCCCAGTCTCCAGTGGGCACTCACCACTAGGGGGCGTACAGTGTTTCTCAAGCCCAGAGGTCCTCTAGGCCAGCCAAAGTGTTTTTTTGTCATTTCACTTTGTTTGAAATTACACATTTTAATAAAGTTGATCCTTATAGCTGAACAATTTGTACAGCATAAGAGCAAAAAAAAAAACAAACTTGTGGACAAAGTCTTGCTCTGATCTCTGCCCAGTGTCGACATGGAAGTTAAGAGACTAGATAATGCTAATATGAACTACAGCCCCCTGTTGGATTTCACTGTTTCAGTCCATCGCACCTTCATCAGTCTCTCAGTACGTGATTGTTATTCTGTACGTTTTCAGGGCATTAGTGGGGAAACACTGGGGCAAAGGGAGTGAGAGAGAAGGTGGGTGTGAATGAACTGGGACCTGTTTCACTAAATGGGATTTTTTTTGTTAGCCAGGTAACTTGTTGGATTTAAGGTAGTCTGGGCTAGATGTAAGTGAACAAAGATAAAGTCCATTTAAAGTGGGGTACCTTAAATCTGACAGTGATCTGGCTAAGAAAGAAATGCTGCTTCATGACACAGGCCCCAGATTTTTGATTATGAAGAGAGCTTAGGTTTTGTCATGATCTCAGTCACTGAAGGGCTTACAGGAATCAGGTGGATGGAAGCAAATCGGCAACCCTGCAAAGAAGCAGTCATTTCACTTACCGCTAATCAGCCAGGCCTATTGACATATTGACAGCAATGTTTGTCTTTTGACATTTGGCTGGTTTTGTTTATTTTAGCTGTACAAACCAAAACATCTCTATGCAATACAATGGTGTTTGGGTACAATTTTATTTTAAAACAGTCTGTTCTACACTCAACAGGGGACCTTAAAAAAAAGCAAAGATGACCTGCACTTATGTTACATGTCCTCTGTGTGGACACTGACCCTTGAGTATGGAAGCAAGCTGTCCAGATCATCGCCACAAACCCTCCACAAAGCTGAATGCTTCCACTTGGTGATATCAGTCAGTACATATGGTTCATTTGCTTATTGGTCTAATTTACTACCCATTAAAATACATCTTGACGTTTAGTGTTTTCACTTTCGGTAGCTGGCTAGAGATGCTGTCAGCTGGTACCGCAGCTCAGGTCCAGGGGATGCAGGCTTGCGGATGTGCTGATTGGACAGGAACAGGTCACGTGGCACTCCAGCTCAGCTGGCCCCACTAAGGAAAACCCAACACGAACCACCATGTCTTGATCCAGCAAAGTAAAAGTGCAAATGATTCTTCATTTTTATTAAAAAATTCATTCATGACACATTGCGGCAGCCCTCTTCATATGTACGTTTGTTTTAATCGCTGCCTTCGCCGCCTTTCTTACCGTAGGTCGATATTAAGCAATATCAGGTTTGTAAATGTTTATCTTAAAAGCACAGAACAGGCTGTAATGTTGGTGAAAACCAATTCCAACAAAATATTATGAAGATAAAAGCACAGGCTAAATGAAAGTGTCAGAGCAGGTCAGCCAGTCCCTGGAGCAAATGGGGTTAAGGGCCTTGCTCAGGAGCTCAACGATGAATCACTCTTTCAGCCTTGGGATTTGAACCTGTCACCTTCTCATTTCAGGCCTGGAGTCTTAACCTGCAGAGCCACGCCACCCCCAAAATAACCCGCTACATTTTAAAGCCTGCTGTGTGACATAAACAGACCGGAAATAAATAAAAGAGCTGACAGTTATATTTATAAATATTCAAAGATGGCTGTGAACCTGCTTAAATAAATAGTCGCATCCCACTCGTGTGAGCAGTGCTGAACAGGCTGTCATGGTGGCATGTTGTAGTGAGATATTCTCTGTGTTCTAAATGCTCTGACCCACAAGTACCTCTGGAAAATGCAGCTGCCAAATTAATGAACCTAAATACAAATCCTCCCCCTTTCAATTCTCTTACTCAAAGAAGCTAAAAGGACACTCACTGGGCTTAGAAATAACTTTCCTTTCCTTTTATGAATTAATATGCCAAATGAAAACAACAACCCTTTAAGTCAGGGGTGGCCAATCTTATCCGCAAAGGGCCAGTGTGTGTGCGGGTTTTCGCTGCAACTCCCTAATTAGATTACTAATTAGAGGTCTGATTGGCTGAAGAGTCCTCACACCTGGGTTTGAACAGCTGTCCTAAAGGTTATCCCAAAAACCTGCATACACACCAGCCCTTTGCGGATAAGATTGGCCGCCCCTGCTTTAAGTGTTTATCACGTGTGGTGCTGACCACATGCCATTTGGTTAAAAGAAGAACATGCACTTCAACTTCTTTGTGGTGTGGCTCAATGGACTAAGCCTCTATGCATGTGGTTGGAAAGTTGCTGGTTTGAACCTGGCCTTGGCAAAATAATCATGTCTGTGAGCGCCTGAGTAAGGCTCTTAAGCCCCAGCTCCTTCGGATCTGTAATGTAACTGCCCCTATGCTGAGACACCCAAGGTTGCTCTCACCTCTATAGAGAGGAAGACGAGGCAAAATGAGAATTTCCCAATAGGGATTAATAAAGTATCACTATTCTATTCTACCTTTCAGCACATGAATGCTGTCAAGTGAAGGATCGGCACAGGAAGACGGAGCGAGGCGTGTGACAGACCTTCGGTGCCAAGAGCAACGGGAGAGGCTACGACCTTATCTACATACTTATTAATCTGGTTCTGAAACAGCTCACATAGATCCGCTTCATCAGACCCAGTTCGCTGACATCAATAAGAAAACATGAAGACTAATTCCAATTGGCACTGGGTGCCAACTGGATCGACTTCATGCCTGTCTGGGCTTGGGGTCCAGCGTGAGACATCCATCCATCCGAGGACGAGGAGGACCCTCAGAGACATGAACGGCGAGCTGTTACCAAGAGCCACGGGCAGACACAGCCTAATACTGCCAGAGGGTCCACATGGCCCAGGGTTCGAAAGAGACCAGAGTCCCGATCTCAGGCATTCTGCCACTGCTCACAGCCAGTAAAACAGTAACACTGGGATTCTCAGGGTTGGAGCAGATACTTCACTTCATATCCAACTTGCCCAGTAAACAAAAGGTTTTAACCACCTGCAGTTTGACACTGAAATAATTGGCCAGTAGTGCTTCAAATGTTTCAGCATATTTCTGCAATCTCGTTCTTTCTTCTGCCTACTTCCACCAAAATGACCGCATTCAAACTCAGCTTCCCGATTGGAACTATTTTTTGTTCATTTGTTGGCAGACGTTTGTGCGTAATGGTTAATGACAAACCCTAATCACAATACTGACAGAATACTCGACGATCATTTGTCAAGTTTGCTCTAGGTCCATGGTTCTCAGCCGGATTATATTCAAGAGGCATGAAGTCACAAACAAAATGGTACTAGTAAATTTTTTCAAATGGGGCTGGGGCGTGCTGGCAGGAAAATAATGTAAGCATTCACTCCTGAGAAGCACGACTCTGGTGTACGCGAAACACTGTCATCAACTGTCATATATGGCGGCCTTAGCGTCGAAGCTGAAATGATCAACAAAATCACAAATGGCGAAATAACACTGTGGGGGAAAAAACCAGAGTATTTGTGTTTCATATGTAAACATAGGAACCAAAAAGCCAGAAGAGCTCAGATCTGTGACACTGTTGTATGTAAGTGAGCTCTCCTCGCTCTGAGGGTGCAGGCGGATTCCAGAAAGGCTTGTCGGGGGGCCGGATGAGACAAAAGATGAGTCTCACACGTGGGGTGACAAATTCGGCAGGTTTCAGAGGAAAGTCTGCTGCAGACCAAGGCGAAACTTCCCGAGAGAGAAACTCCACATGGCACTCGGTCCTCCGTGGCGAGACGGGGCTTGTTCACTTCCTGGTTGGCACGCTGCCTAGCCGGCCCTTGCCCGAGGGGAGCTGTCGCCCTCCCTGGAACACGTTTCGCAGGAAACACAGGAAACGGTGAAAGCAGAGCGGACTGGGGGCGGCATAGGCCCTGGGGGCTATGATCTGCTAAATACTGCCTGGGTGTGTCACCATGGTGACCCTGTAAGACCAGAAAAGGCAAGAGAGCACTCGACATGCACTGGGAGAGTGTCCTGGGAGCTGGGGGGGGGACACTCCCCCTCCATAGTGTTTAACAAGACATGAAAACAAGGTCTGCCTTACGTCACAGAAAACAAAAAGCATGTTTAGGGGGTGTCAGCTGATGTGATGAAATTTCTCAGTTTATAAAATATCCTTTAGGTTTTCTCCGTGCAGGAAGACTCCGTTGTGTAAAAGACCTCATTCCAGAATGTACCATTACATTAATAACTAGGAACTAACTTCCCACAAGGGTCCCCGCACATCTTAATAGTAATCACATCTGAGCCACTGCAGAATGACAGTCTGCCGCAGTGACCCCCTTTAGGCACCAGGGGGCCCGTTTCCTCTTACGACTAAGCCTTTCTCACCACTTCACTTTACATTTGGCAACTTTTGCAGGGTAAACAAACTGAGACATAGAACCATTTCCCTATTCAAAGAATAGTGTACCATAACCTCCATTTACTACAGTGCGCTCTACCAGTCAAAGGCCATGTGGCACCCTAGGTAAGCTTTACCGCCAGCGCCCCCTATCTGGGACAAAGTGAACATCGGCAGCCGCCTATGTCACCTAATGTCTTGACTGGAACTGCCAGTGTAACACACAACAGCAGTGAATGGCTGACCGCCACACATCCTGAACTGGTACCACATTTCCACTCCCAGACATCAGTACCATGATGAAGCAGCTCAAGTTGAAGATACACAAAAAAAACACACACAACTACAAACGCACTTGCATTGGTGCTGTCCGAGCCATTTCGACGGCCAGTGGGTAGCCAAGGCGTTAACAGGGACAACCCTCGAGTAGGACGCCGACTACCCAGTCACCAGGAAGAGCACGGGAGCTTCCATGGAAATCCAGAGACCCTCCCAGGTATGTAAACACTGTAAACATGACATCTCTCCGCCGACGCACTACAGCATCTTTCTGGGTTCTTTCTTGTGTACGTTCTTCCCCGTTGCAGACACGGACACATGCCTGTTACATCTGCAGCCCAGCCACGACGCGAAAGCACACATATACACTTGTGACGTGCATCTACCACACCTTGCAGATGTGTATACAAACTATGCCGGCCACTGTAAACTAGGTTGTTATCTACATTCTCGGTCTAGTAGGGGCCTTGAGACACGGCTGAGGAAGTGAGGAAAATACAAAACAAAAGGGAGGGCAACAGCACCTTGGCAGTGGAAGTGGACCAATGTCCAGTTTTGGAAAGTGTTTCGTACCATGTTTGCTGAGAAAAATCATTGGCCACTTCCCCATGACCTCAGGAGACTCTCACTGACCACCCCCCTGTGACCTCAGGAGACTCTCACTGACCACCCCCCTGTGACCTCAGGAGACTCTCACTGACCACTCCCCTGTGACCTCAGGAGACTCTCACTGACCATTCCCGTGACCTCAGGAGACCCGACTGGCCACTCCCCTGTGACATCAGAAGACCCGACTGGCCACTCCCCTGTGACCTCAGGAGACTCTCACTGACCACTCCCCTGTGACCTCAGAAGACCTGACTGGCCACTCGTCTCTCAACTGACTACGGCCTTTTTATGTGTTTTATGTTCTTGAAGGAATGAGGAGTGTAGTGTCATGGGTGGTGTTTTCACGGTGATGGAAATACCAAACATTAAAAACAAAAAGGTCTCTCTCCATGGCATGCAAACGTGAACAAGCCAGATGTGGGAAGGGGACTCAATGAAACCAAGGTGTGACAGTAAACCATTCACGCCCCGTGGAAGCATCTTGCCGCGGAACTGGGTGCGTCATCCCGGGCCCTCACACCGCCGAAGCTGGCATGGATTCACCGTGCTCCTCTTCCTCTTGGAAACGGCAGGTAATTTTTCCTTCTGCCTCGCGCTGCCATGTCTGTGCGGTGCTGCTTTCAGACAAGCCTCCGCAGTGCACTGTTCCATCCCGGATGGTGAGGGACTGTGTCCTCTGCTGGTTGCAGGCGTGGAGCTTCAGAGGTTAAACAAGGGGTCGTACTTGCGAACTTCTTGAAGGAGGTGCTGTCGATCAGAGACAGCCTGGGCGAGAGCAGCCTGAGCTGCTTGGAGCTGGATCTCAAGGGGGGTGCACTGCACCTGACAGAAAAGGACATAAGGACCGTCATGTATGACAGAGCTGGCAACTCAGCTCATAGAGATACGATTCCACCTAGTGGCCAAGCAGGGAATTTCAACTGTGCGGCTGGAAATGTAACTGTATTACTTATAGCATGTGTTCCTATTTAACCGCATAATGAATCTATCTCTGTCGAGAGGACAGCGATGACACAAATGGCTCTAATAGCACCTCCTCATATGTGCCACCAGCTCGCCGCCTGCCAAGCGCTCGACGCCCCACCTCATGGTTCTCCTGCTGTCGGACAGACGGAGAGCAGTCTGACAGCTGCCAGCACGCCTCGGTCTGGCCTGTAGCAACACCCTCCGCGGGGGGTTTCTCCGTATCGCTCCCACCGGCTGCGAGAAAGAGTGGAAACAAACTGAAACACATCGGCGGCGTGGACAGCAATGGTGTCAGAGAGCCTGCGGGCATCTGCGCAAAGCTATAAATCAGGCTGCTCAGACCGGCTCTCGGGCCTACCTCTCAGACAGAACACCCCGTCGTCAAATCGTTCCAGGACCACCCCATTCAGCATGAAGACCACAGGCATCGGCTGGGGGGATGTGGGGTATATCTGCGGCCCGTCATCCTGGGGGAAGACGGGGAAGGGGACAGGGAGAGGGAGAGGGAGAGTCACCCTCAGAAGGTGTCCTGCCATAGACCGACGGAAAACGGACGGAATAAGAGGCGCCGCCTGCCTTGAGCGTGATGGTGGCGTTATCTAGGTACAGTCGCATGGGCTGGATGTCGGCGCTGAGCTCGTCCTCCAGGAACGGCCCGAGCGTGGACAGCGTGGTAGTCAGCAGCTCAGCCCGGCAGCCAGTCACACGCATCTCCAGAAAGCCGGCAGACTCAGCCAGGGGCGAGTGGCGGCCCGCGCTTGGACCCAGCTCCATTCGCGCACGGACCACAGGGCCAGCATTGGCGGCAGGGGAATTTGGCACTGGGGCTGAGGGTTGGTGACGGGTAAGAACTGCTGGGCAAAGAACAGAATTTACGAAGTTAAAATGGCATTTACACATAAGGACACTCAGTATCCCGATCTTACGTTATCGACACTCAGATCACACTGCATCAGCATCTCGATCTTACGTTATCGACACTCGGATAACATTGCACCAG